AAAAAAAAAAAAAAAGCAGTATATGTGCTAAAACAAAAGTCATACGATCTCTCTCTAGACACAACATTTCTGTGAAGATAACGAGCTGCAACCTTTCCCATGAGAAAATCCTAACAATATATAGGATAGAATGGAGGAAGTTGAGCAAATTCAGCAGACAAAAATCCATGGCGTTGCTGCAATATCTGACATAAAATGAACCCACTGAGGCCAAGGCAAAGGAAGCCATAAAGCCAATGGAAGATTATGCCCAGTGATAAAAACCAGTGATTTTATTGGCAGAAGTTACCAGGCTTTCAAATTCATAAAACCAACCATTTCTCCTTCAAAGTCAGGATCTATTTCTCATGGCTGTTTCCAAGTTACAAGCAACTAGGGCAAATGTTCCAGATAACCTTGTTTAGATTAAAGCAACCATTTGCAAATACAATAGTAATATGTGGTAGTAAACAGTAGTAAAAAAATCATTTTGTGGGCAATGCACACACTTACAACTAAATCTCTGGGCCTGGCCACAGTGCCCTTTGGAGTGAGAATAACACTGGCATTGCTGCACAAGAGAACTTTATCTAAACGAAACAGCAGCAACCAGTGATCTTCACAGCATCTCTCTCTCTCTGAGTCATGTGGTTTGCTTAGTGCCGTGTTGCTTAGCGGTCATTTCGCTGGAAGCAATTATGGTTGCTAAACGAGGATTACCTGTCTTCTCCAAAGTGGTGCAAAAACCTTGAAATTATACTCTACAGACCCATATGAATCTTTCTTAGTAGGGGACCTTGTAGCTTAAATTCAGATGAAGACCCAACCTGAAGAACCTCTTCTAAACTATTGCTTTCATTTTATATCCATTCCAGAATCTTCCTCAAAGAGCTGGAAAACTGCATAGAAAAACCTGAGCTTCTGGGTCGGTGCTTTTTAAAAAGAGTAAGTGAATTATAGTGCTTTAGTTAATCTAGTTTCTTGATGGTGTTCTGGCCCATTTCCCTTGGCATCTGATTCTTTTCAGGCTCGGCTTTAGGTGGGCAGCCAGATGGGAAGTCATGTGAGGTTAAACAACTTGCTTGTGCATTCTTCAAATAAATTAACAAACAAGCAAAGACCCAGAAAAGACCACATTTCTTTCTTCCAATGAGTTGGCAGGACAATGCTAGAGTGTTGCATTGTCCTGCAAATTGTCCGGCATCTTCCCATTTTCCCCTTTCATTCTCTCCCCAACCCCCCACTTTTCTTACTGCATAACTTGAGAATCAAACACCAGAATGGGAAAAAGAGAGAACATCTTGAAATGAGAAATGTGTATTCAACCAAGTATAAATTTTAGTCTAATCTCTTGAAACATTTACAATCAAATACAATTTTTAACTATATA